TTTTTTTTTGGTAGCCAGCCACGGTTCCGGAACTATGCCCCGACTAATCCATTGGTCGACCCGGGTCGCACATGTATTTTAAAAAAGCTTTCAAAAACCTAGAAAGAACTTTTGTAATGTTCAAACACTTGCTTTTTCTCTCTCTTTTTTTCTTTTTATATTTTATTTTTCTATTATTATTGTTCTATTTTTTTATTAACATGTGCAGTCTTCCTATTTGAAAATTATGAATATCCTCTTAAATATTTCTTGAGTCTGTTTGACATCAAATTTCAAGTTTACTTCCATGGTTATTTGCAGATGGAACAATTCTTAAATTCATGCAGCGAATTCTCGACCCGTTGCAGCAGACATTGGCTGATGGCTGTCATCTCACAAGAAACACAGATGACTATATTTCCAGAACAGGTTTTGCTAGCCTTGATATCAATCATGTCTTTTTATCCACTGCTTCAATTTTAAATCCTCATGTATATGGAATAGCATACAAATAATTCAATTTTTTTACAAAACATTTATATGGAACAAAGCTTCTGTCCATATTTATGTAATAATATGAATATCCCATGTTGCAGCTCCTTTTAAAATGTATTGAACAGAAATTATCGAAGGCGAAACATTAATCAATGCTTTTGATAGCAATATGATTCTTGTTCTTCGTCTTCTGTATTTTCACGACATATGTAAGCAACATTGTCATTTAACTCATTCTACTCTAGTTTCTATTCCTGAATTCCGACAGCCTTGATTCTCGACTTCTTTTAGCTTCTCGTATGTTTGCATATATTCCTACAAAATTAAGGAAACATGACAGAATGTTTACTCCAGAAACGAAAATTTGCAACCTATGATTTTCTTCCCCCAAAAACTGCAATATATAGTAAACGAAAAATTATTGGAAAATTAATGAAAACCCACCGGAAAAATGAAAAAACAAAAAAACACCACAAAAATGGAAAAAAAAATGAATAGAAAAAACTTCATGAAAATGGATTCGATGCGATATAAAAAGACAATTGAATTAAATAATAGGGGTCGGCTATAGTCCCGTGAGGAATAATTCCCTCATTTCGATATAAGCCATTAGATTTTTCAGTTTAATATGGACACTTAGATGTAGTCAAAGAGTGCTGATGTGATAATTTTATATTGGAGTTTTATTCAGAAGAATGGTCCGGGACTTTAGGGGATGCTTGGATATAAAAAAATTTGGATTTGTTCGGATTTTTTTGGTTTGGTTTGGTTAATTTTGAAAAAGGTGGTATGATTAGTTGTTAGTGGGTATATTAAAATAATATTTAAAATAAAATAATTAAAGTTGATTTGATGTAAAAAGTAAGAGAGAGAAGTTGAAGTGGTGATTAGTTAAAATTAGTGAGTGGATGAATAGTGAATTAAGGTTGATGTGATGTGTATAAATGATTAGTTGATATTATTTAATTATAGCAAAATGTTGATGATAGTGGGGTTGAATTAAAGTTGAGTTAAAAAAAGTAGTTGAGTTAAAAATGATTGGAATGTTTTGAGATAATTTTGTATCCAAGCATCCTTAGCATTTTTCTATGTAATATGTTTAATTTTAGACAAGTTGGACATAAATGACCAAAAAGTGCAAGGAATATTGGAAAAAATTGTCGGGAATAGGTACGTCGACATCAATTGATATAGGACTTACGTGTGTGATGGCGAAAAAATATGATTGTATGATTTTAATCTAAATTCCAGCAACCAAAGATGCAAGAATCAAGAGGAACAATCTCATCTGTTGAAAATATTTTAGTTTTCTATCCAAAGGTGTAAATTTCGTGTTTTACGGTTCATATTTTGCGAAGCAAATTACTTTAAACTGCAAAAGTCTAAACCAGCCATATTTCAGGTTCAAATTTTATTCTCTTCGATTGTCGATGGGCATGTTTCGATTAACTACTCTACTTTCGTGTAGGCCTATCACACTGAAATTTCACATCTTAGTTCCTTTTGGTAACAAACATGTTATGTTATTGTACATGTGAGATTTGTATGTTTTTGGGACCTTTTTAAGAATCATTTTTGAAAAAAAAATGTAAAAAAAAAAATAAAAAAATCTTCAGATTAGTTTGCTGGTCTGGCATAATGACATTTCACCTGCTAATCAGTGTTCTTTGTGGAAGTTTATTGCTGCAAAAGAATTGTGGACCATGATGAGCTTTTAAGCTCAATTATTTGGAAAATTTTGCATTTGTTTATTATCTATTTATTTGAGGTTGTTTATCATTTTGAGGTTTGGTTTATTTATTTGTCTTTTGGGTCTGAAAGGTTGTAAGGAAACAACATTATATTTGGTTTTGTTTGTTGAGTACTGTTGTTGCATAACTAAGTTTCATATTTATTTAAGAGAAGGATTGACTTACATTCTATTTTTGTGAAATAAATAATAATTGAACAACTAACCAATAAAACTGACAACAAAAAATAAAAAAGTAATACCAAACAAACAAACAACTTTTGAAAAAAAAATTATTGGCCTTCTGAAAAAAAATATTATTATTCATATTTTTATATCTCATTTCTCTCTCTTTTTGGATTCCATCTTCTCCGTTGGGTTTTCAGTCATTTTATTTCATTATCCAACACAATTCTAAACATAGCCACGGGTCGATCCGGCCCTCTAGGTTGACCCAAACCAGCTCAAAATTGGCTCATGGTCGACGGGCCTTGAACTGGGCCCATGGTTTGATCGGGCTGGTTCGAGGCCTCATATATGCACTTTTTGAACTGCCGAGCCGGTTCTGAACAGAAACTGGCCCGATGATTCGATCCCTTTCTATTTGATTTTTTTTTTTAAATTTTCATTTTTTTTTAATTAACTCGGCCGAATTGGGACCGGTGGTCCACCGAACAGTCAAGGAACTGCCGGTTCCCCGAATTGGCCCGTGGTGCATATGTTCTGGCCAGTTGAGGGCCACCAAACCCTTGGCCCTGACCCGGTATTTCCGACCAGAAACGGATTTGGCCATCTCTACTTCGGTCTTTCCCCATTACATCACAACATCCATTTTCATTTTTCTTGAGTCTCCACACAATTTTATTTCCTTTTCTCCTCACTCAAGACTCACACAAATTCATTCAACTTAACTCCATAATAATTAAGAAATGCAAAAATAATCCTCTCGAACATTACAACACAAAAATTTATCAACTTTCTATATATATATATATATATATATATATATATATTTAACATCTCTCACTTTTGTCATTTCTTTCCTCACCTTTCTTCCCTAATTTTTTTTTTAATGTTTTGTAAGGTGATGTCCGACGAATTTCCGCGTAAGATGGACGCAATTAACTCCATCGGAAGATGGGCACGACGAACTTCGTCAAAAGACTGACGCGACGAACACCGGCAAAAGACAGATGCAACGAACTCTGGTGAAGGATGGACGCGACGAATGTCAGTAAAGGACAGACACGACGAATTGCAGCAAAAGACAAACACGACGAACTCTGACGAATGACGGACGCAATGAACTCTGGCGATATACGGATCCGACGAACATGTCTATAGACAAAAGCGACCAACTTCGAAGAACTCCCAACAGATAAACTTGCATGACCATCTCCTGACTCCCAACCAGCCTTTTCAGACGAACGAAGATTGCCACTCTCTATGAAATCTCTCGTCCTCTCAGGCAAAGTTTTTTCCTTTTTTAAATCGGTGAATTCTTGTTCTTTATATCCTCAAAAAAAAAAAAAAAAAA